TTCCATCACTAATTTCTTAGCTACCACTTGGACCATTTCAGCTCAGGAAGGAAAGGCATCTACCCAGCCTGTTGTAGCCAAACAGTCCTGGCTGGACTTCATTTCCCACAATTCACCAGGAACCATACCTTGACTCCATTGGCCCAGGGGAAATATGTTCTTTGCATTTACCTGGACACAGGTCAGGCAGAGGTCTGAAATGCTCTGAAGTTTTTCTCAGTGTCCAGATAGCCAGACATGAGGGGAGACAAGTCCTGCAATCTTCTGGTGCAATTGCATGACGGGATGCAAGGCCTTAGCCAGTTTTGGCACAGTATCTTTGGCATGCAGATTCTTCCGTCAGGCAAGATCCACCATCCATAACAGCTCTCCTGAACTCTCAAGTCAGAATGTGTCAGCAGCAGGGTAGCAGGACTAAGGGCCGAGGATTTATCAAATGTCAGCCTGTCCTTTTCTAAAGAAGGGCTTGGTACTGGGTCAGACGGGCATTAGTCATCCGCTGGTTGGTGGCATCTCTCAGCAGGGCTTCCACAGCGCGTGGATCTGTCCCAACGTGAGCTTGTCAGCTTCTACAAGAACTGCAGTGGCTGCAATGAGACTTAAACAAGGAGGTCATCCGAGAGGCTTCAGGATGGAGGATGCTGTCGGCTTTTCCCAGGACCAGGCTCTGAGTCAGGACTCCCTTCCTTTCTTTCTGTCTTTCTGTCTTTCTGTCTTTCTTTCTTTCTTTCTTTCTTTCTTTCTTTCTTTCTTTCTTTCTTTCTTTCTGTCTTTCTTTCTTTCTGTCTTTCTTTCTTTCTTTCTTTCTTTCTGTCTTCCTTTCTTTCTTTCTTTTTTTTTTTTTTTTTTTTTTTTTTTTTTTTTTTTTTTTTTTTTTTTTTTTTTTTTTTTTTTTTTTTTTTTTTTTTTTTTTTTTTTGTTTTGGTTTTTTTTGAGACAGGGTTTCTCTGTGGTTTTGGAGCCTATCCTGGAACTAGCTCTGTAGATCAGGATGTCCTTGAACTCACAGCCTTGAACCCGGCTAGGACTCCCTTTCTTTTGTGGACTTAAAGGTAAAAGGGCTTGGAGACACCAGGGAAAGTTAATATGGGAGCCTGTCCCAGGGCCTCTTAAAGTTCTTAAAGGCCTGTTTATGTTCCTCAGTCCATTCCAAACAATGGCCCTGGCCATAGCAGAGTAGAGGGTTTGGCAATCTCAGCAGACCCAGGCATCCAAAGACAGCAACATTCCCCAGCTCCAGACACTCCCTAACTTGTTCCTCGGTGGCTGGAGTTGGGATTGCAGTATGGCTGCTATGCGGGAGAGCAGTCTTTTCCCTTCCTAAGAAAGGAACCTGCAGTGAGCACATTTGAGCTTTCTGTTTAGAAACTCTGTAGCCTAACTGGGATGGAGTTTCCAAAAGGCTTCTGGTGGCTCCTATTTGAGTTCTCCTCATCCTTAGCAGCCAAAAAAAAAAAAAAAAAAAAAAAAAAAAAAAAAAAAAAAAAAAAAAATCATCTACATACTGAAACAAGGTTACCTCGGGATATTTAGTACCAGGAGCCTTACATCCTGGTCCGGTGCTTTGTTGAAGATGGTGGAGTTTCTAAATCCTTGAGGCAGTGTGGTCCAGGCTAGTTGTCCTGATATCCCCAGTTCGGGTTCAGCCCCTCTGAATGTGAAGACAGGCTGACTGGACTTCAGCAGAGGGACGGGGAAGAAGGCATCTTTCAAATCCAATGAAATACAGAGCAGACCTTCTGCTCTGGCGGTAATGACGTGAGCAAGGCACAGGGATTCGGAGCAGTTGGGTGAATGGAGTCCACCCTCTTGTTCACCTCCCTCAAGTCCTGTACTGGTCCATAGCCTGGCCTTGGACAGACAACCAGCGGCTGTTCCAGGCTGACTGGAATAAGTATGAATAATAAGGAATAAATATGCCTGCTTCAAGGAGGTGCCTGATATGAATCTTGGGCCCTTCCCTGGCCTCCCAACTGATGGGATATGGCTTGATTTGAACGGCCACTGCTCCATGCGTTAGTTGCACTACAGTGGTGGCACACGCTTTGCCAAGTCAGGAGGTTGCTCTCTGCCCAAACTTTATGAATTTCCTGGATCTGTAACTTTCTCCATTCCCCTTCCAGGAAATGGGTTGGGTCTGGAGGCACAGGTAGTCCTCACTTACTGGGCAGCCCCGCCCAGCTGCAATCCGGGAGTCTCCTGAGAACAACGTTGTTGCCTGGAGCTTGCTCAAGAGCCCCCCCCCCCAGTAAAGGGTAGGGACATTCAAGAATAATAATAAAAGAATGAGTCACAGTTCCTTGTCCTAAGTTAATAGTCCGGTAAGTGGTCCATTTGTGTTCTTTGACATCCCCTGTTGCCCCCCCCCCCCGTACTACCATTGTTTGGTTGGTAAGGGGTCCCCGGGCTCCTGCAATACCAAATGAGTAGCCCCCATGTCCTCCAGAAATTTTACAGTTGTTCCCCTATGGTGAAGGTAACCATAGGCTCCAGGGGCCTAGTTCAAAGGAGCCTCAGCCTTAGCTAGGATTGGCTTGGGTTTGGGGTCTACCTGTTTCCAGTATGGACATTCATTTTCCAATGGCCCATTTCTTTGCAGTAGGTACACTGGTCCTTTAGTAAAGGTCTCCTCCTTTTATCATGGTATGCATGGGCAGAGTTGATGGCTGGGGCTTGTAGTGTAGCCATGGTAGCACACCCATCTCGTTTACCAGAAGATCTTTGCTGTCTTTATCATCAAACCCCTTCTGGGATATCTCTAATAGCTCTGACCTGTTCTTTCCTGCAAACACATCCGTCTTTTGTATCTTTGTGCGCATGTCAGGGGCCGATTGAGCAACAAAAGCCAGGTTAAATGCTTTGAGATTTGGCAGGTCTTCTGGGTCTATAGGCGTGTATAACAGATGGGCGTCCAGGAGCTGCTCCAGGAAGGCTGAAGGTGACTGATTCATCTGAGCCCTCTTTCACGTCTGTTACCTTAGCTAGGTCAGTGGGCTTCTGGGAAGCCTGTTCCATCCCCTCTATCAGACCTGGTGGTCACTGAGTGACCTTCTACCTCTCCTCCTTGGCAGGGCCCGGCCAGCTGCCTCTGCCTTCTGGTCATCAGCCATCAAAGCGAATCCAGGGAGTGCTTCAGTTGCTTTCACGAGAACCTGTTCTCTTTGTTTGGGAGCGAAGAGGAAATGGAGGAGAATCTGCTGACAGTCATCCCACTGGGGAGATGAATGAAAAAGAGAATCTATTCGAAAGGTTAAGGAACCGGAACTAGTGCTGAAAGGGGGTTCTGTTTCTTCCGGTTGTAGACAACCCGTGGAGAAAGGGACATACAGGTAGCAATGGTCAGTAAATGGCGGTATGGGAGGGAGGACTGAAGGAGGTGCCACCCCAGAGCCAGAGAAGTTAGAAGGGTCATATGGGACTCCCTGGCGGGTGTGGGAAGGGGAAAAGTCAGGAGGAAGCAAGGAAGACTAAATGGGATGGGGTGGGTACAGATGGGGGGCAGAATGAGGTCTTGGTGGTTGGGACTGGGGTGGCTGAGGTGAAGAGGGGAGAGGAAGGTAAATATGGTTATACGGAGGGAAAGGGGTTCTTCCTCCTGTGAGTCCTACAGAATTGTCTGTAGAGGAGGCTTGTTGGTCTCTGCTACAGGCCCTCAAAAGGTGCGTCTGCTGACACCCAGGGTTTAGCCCACTGCGGACCATCCAGACCGTCATTCAGGGGTGCAGCCCGAAGTTACTTCAGCCCAATCTGATCTGGATGGCCAGGCTTACCACGGGTGACGTTGACCTCTGTCCAGGCTATCTAAGAATTAGAAGTACCTTGGGAAGGCCAGGCAACCCCGAACATGGGCCATTCATGGTCATAGAATGTTCGAAAGCAGTGGTTGGTGGTAGAATAATCATAATCCTCCTTATTATAGTGGGCAAAGTTTATCAAATCCTTTAGAACACAGCTTTCAAGAGTGGCTAGGCTTGAAAGTCTTTTGTTTTGTTTTGTTTTACTAGACAGGGTCTCTGTAGCTTTAGAGTCTGTCTTGGAATTCACTCTGTAGACCAGGCTGGCCTCGAACTCACAGAGATCTGCCCGCCTCTGCCTCCCGAGTGCTGGGATTAAAGGCGTGCGCCACCACTGCCCGGTAGGCTTGCAAGTCTTAATACCCACACTGTCCATCAGTTCAGTCACCCCAAGTCCAAAATAATCCAATTCACACAGAAACTACAAAAGGCAGGAGGAGGATAGTAAAATGAAGCCAAAGACAAGACAAACTGGGCATAAAAACCGGACCAAGACCCTAGGTGGGCAGTGTGATGTCTTGCTTTTTTCCCTGAATAGCAAAGTATTTGTGTCCTGTTAACCTGACACACATCCCAGATAGGGGTCCCACAAAACAGAACCAGTCTGTATCTCACCAGGAGGCCTCCATAGATGCCTGCTTGCTGCTTTTCTTCGCACAAAAAAAATTCACCCTGTTAGTCCATGAGCTGAAGGCAGCCCAGAGCCTTGGAGCCTCTCAAGGCCCGTGCCTCCCTAGTCAGCCCCCAAGTCCCCGAAGTTCTGAAGTGAGGTTCAGGTTTAGAATGTTGGTGTGTGGTCTGAATCTTACTGAAGCAGGTAAATGGAGACCTTGCCTTCACTTCCCAGCCATCCAGACCCGAATAATCACACAGAAATTTTGGTGTATTCCTAGCTAGCTCTTACATCTTAAATTAACCCATTTCTATTATTTTATATTTTACCACAAGGCTCGTGGTTTGTTACCTCACATCTTGTTTCTTGGGTGGCTACGTGGCACCTGCCTGACTCCGCCTTCTTTCTCCCTGCACTCAGTGTAGTTTTCCTGCCTGGCTCTGTTCTGCCCGGTTCTAGACCAAAGTAGCTTCTTTACTAACCAATGGAAACAAAACATATTCGTAGCATACAGAGAATCCCACATCAGGGGCCTCCAAAAAATGTCAATTCCAAATGGCAAGAATAAGATAACTACCACAATTTAAGCAAAATTTGAAGCAAACTTGATTTTTATTGGGGTTGGGGTGCCCGGAACAGCTGGCCAGCGACTGCCTCCTAAATTGGGTTAAAGAGAACAGTAGAGAATCCACGTGGGCCCCTTTGAAGGGTAAAAGCATGAGTAGTTTGACAGAGTGCAGACAATGGGCTAAAAAGGAATTTAAAAAATCTTAAAGAAACATCGTATGGTTACCCTCCAAGGGGTCAAAGAGGGCCAGGGTATTCTCAACACCAAATCAACGTCATGGGTTGGGGAAGGTCAGGTTCCAAGAAACAGAGAGCAATTCAACTCTCACAGTAAATGGAAATTTGTTTTTAAAAATACAGCATACCGGCTCCTGCCTTCAAAACGGTGTCAGGCAGTTTCCTCTATACCTGTGAACCTAAGGCCCTGATCACAATGGCACAGCCTTAGAGAGAATAAAGATGTTTATTGACTAATAGCTTGGACAGTGTGGGGATAATCAGTCTGACCACTGTAGCTCCAGCCCTCCTAGAACACCTGTTTGGAACACACTTCTCCCCGTGGTCCTGACTGATCTTACACCTCAAGGCTGTGCACCCTGCTTGTGTCACACAGGAGCGGTGTGCAAAGAGAAAGTCAAAAGCTGGACTGCAGCAGAGTGACTCTCAGGGGCCATGCCCCCTGATCCTGCAGTGGCGCAGCCGGGGTGTTCCCAGGGTCCCAGCTGGGTTCCCACTGGGCCAGGCCTCGCCTGCTCCCTGGGGCAGAGTTAGCCTTGGGAGATGCTGGGGACGAGGTGACCTGGTGCACTTCTTCACTGGGAGGTTGTGAGCCTGGTGGGAGACAGTCTCCCCTGGAGTCCGAATTTACCCCTGGAGAGCCTAAATGGAGAAGAAGTGTTAACTTAGAACCTCCAAGCTCCACATTTCCAGGCCCCGCCCTTGACCCAGGGGTGCAGATCCTGGGTACCTCACCAGTCATCAGCCTGCGCCACTGGGAAGCCTCTGTAGCTAGGGCCTGAGAGAGACTGAGGACCCGCTCCCGGTGGCCTCTGGGTGTTGGCATGCAGGTTGTGGAGGGCCTGGAGCTACAGAAAATAAGCCACAGTGTCAAGTCAAATAAGCCCCAAAGGCCTGATGGGAGCTGTTTCTTAGCCAGTGTCCAGCGGACTATGAAGCCAGGCCCTAGCATTGCAGGCAGACTAGCAGTAAGGTCGCCATTACTGGATGAAGCAGGCCTTTGGAGCTCTGCAGTTCCTGACCGGGTATGAGGGCCTTCCTGGCTTTGTTGTAGATGCCATAGGAACTCAGGATCTCTGGAGCTGTGTTTGGGGCACAGGGGACTGTGCTAATGCCATTGCTGCCCTGTCTGCATCCAGACCACCCCTCATCTCCACTCACCGCTGGGTTCCATACCTACTCCAGGATCCAGAACTCCTGAGCCATTGTGCAGCTCCTACAACAGGCTGGAAGGAATTGGGTGGTTAGAATCTTGCCTTGGAGAATGGTTAGAAGTTCAAGACCAGCCTGGTCAGAGTACTCATGAGATTGTGTCCAAATGGAAATAAAAGGAGAGTGTGGTGGGGGAGAAAAGAGGGGAGCAAAAAGGAAAGGGGAGGAAAGGAAGGAAGGAAAGGAAGAAAAGGTAGAATTCTTGCCATTGAAGCCCTGTTTTCTCTGCCTCCTCTCCTCAGCCCTCCCTCCCTCTGGATCTACCTGTGGATGCTTAGGAAGGCCAGAAGATGACCTTGGGTGTCCCTTCTCTGATCCTCCACCTTGGTTTGAGACAAGATCTCTCATTGGCCTAGAACCTCAGCAAGTTGCCAGACTAACTTGTGGAATAATCTTTTTGTACACTTTGAATATGTGTCTCCGATTGGTTTAATAAAAAGTTGAACAGCCAACAGCTCGGTAGGATCTGGGGGGCAGAGAGGATGCTGGGAAGAAAGGAGTTGTCAGAGGGACTCAGAGGAAGCAAGACAAACAGGATGAGAGGTAGACGCCATGAGCTGTGTGGCACCACACAGATGCATAGCAACGGGTAATTAAAGTATAAGAGCTAATCAAAAAGAAGCCAAGGCTGTCAGTGTTCGCCATTAATAACGGTCTCCACATCACTGTTTGTGAGATGGGGACCAGAGAAAGGCCTGACTACAAACGGCACCCGACATCCAGGCACCTAATTCCATATAAGACCTGAGAAAGCTTTACAAAAGGTTCCAAACACACAAAAATGTGGTCAAACGTGGCTTGCGAGTTCCACAGTCTCTCATGCAGTACAGAGAGGTCTCCTGGTCACAGCCTGAGGGCTTGAGCTGCCAGCTTGCAGTGAGCTAAGCTGCTTGGCAGTTTAAGGTTTTGCTCTGTAGATAGGAAAGGTTACAGATATGCAGTAAAGCAGGTTCAGACAGAACAGCCTCCAAAAGGTTACCGTGTGTTTAACAACCGTGTAGGCTTAAGAAAAAAAGAAAAGGGATATAGACAGTCAAAAATAGTTTAAAAATAATAAAGTCTTTTTTGCTTTGTTTTGTGTTTCGAGACAGGGTTTCTCTGTAGCCTTGGAGCCTGTTCTGTAACTAGCTTTTGTAGACCAGGCTGGCCTTGAACTCATGGAGATCCACCCACCTCTGCCTCCTGAGTGCTGGGATTAAAGGCACGAGCCACCACCGCCTGGCCCAAAAATAATAAAGTCTTTAAAGGAAGTAAAGTAGTAAAGAAAAGAATAAGCCATGCAGAGACGCGGAACAGCAGGGGCCTGGATCCTGTGTGTTGTGTTACTGTGTTGTGTATTCCCCAGGCGCCTGGGTCCTGTGTGTTACTGTGTTGTGTATTCCCCAGGCGCCTGGGTCCTGCGTGCTATTGTGTTGTGTATTCCCCAGGCTCCTGGACCTGTGTGTTATTGTGTTCTCCTTCACTGTCTGGTTGTTGATGCATGAACAACAGCTGCTGAGAGACCCTGGATTTTCATAAAAACTTCTGAATTAAACCAACCTATATTTTTTTTAAATGTCTTAACTTCCAAATGTAAGTCAAAAATATGTTACATTGTATAAGAGGCGGATCTCTGTGAGTTCGAGGCCAGCCTGGTCTACACAGTGCGTTCCAGGACAGCCAGGGCTACACAGTGAGTTCCAGGACAGGCTCCAAAGCTACAGAGAAACCCTGTCTTGAAAAAAAAAAAAAAGAAAGAAAGAAAAAAAAGAAGAAAGGTCTGCCAGATATTGTAGGCCTGTAGGCTGAAGACTGGATGCCCCAGTGTTGCAGAGAGATGTCCGCACTTCCTGTTTACTAAGGTAATATTGCACACTCCTGATGGAGTGGGAGACAAGGTAGCTATGCTTGCAGTTTTCCTTAGTTAGGACAGAAGATACTAGTACAGTGTGTTGGGCTCGTCGGATAGAACGGTAATGAAGTGTTTTCTCCAAATGCCAAACACTAAGGGGCCAGACACTGCAGTGTACCTCCTACCTGGTAACTGTTCTGATTGTATAAGTTTTGCTGGAGTTAAAACCTCTCCTTCTTATTTAGACAAAAGGGGGAAATGTGGAATAATACTTTTGTACACTGTGAATATGTGTCACTTTGATTGGTTTGATAGAACAGCTGACCAGCCACTAGCTTGGCAGGATTTTCAGGACAGAGAGGACTCTGGGAAGAAGGGAGTGGCCAGCAGGATGCAGAGGAAGCAAGCCAAGCAGGATGAGAGGTAAAGCCAGGGCCCCATACAGAAGAAGAATAATGGCTTGATGTAAGTTACAAGAGGTAGACAGAAATAAAAGCTACCGGCCGAGCTTTCATAATTATTAATGAATCTCTGTGCCGTGATTTGGGCGCTGGCTGGCAGGACAGAGAGACTCCCTGTACTAGCTGATCCATGGGATTCCAGGGAGCTAAGCATCCCACCTCCCACCTCCATGCCATGGGGATTACAGACATCCACTGCTAGCCCAGGCTCTATACGTGGCCTCTGAAGCTCCAACGCCATCTCCCCAGGTACCTCCACACTTTTCTCACTGAGCCATCTCCCTAGGTCCCCCCATACTTTTCGGCTAGGTTCTTTTGTAGCTCAGAGTGCCCTCCAACTCATTACGTAGATGAAGATGACCTTGATCCTCCTGCCTCCTGTCCTCAGTGTTGGGGTGCGAGCCGTGCATCAGCTTCACTGGGGCCACTTTTTATGGTGATATTAGGTGGGGGGCTCAGAGACAGGCTATTTGAATTCACCTGTCCTCTTGGAGAAGATCAGGGTTACGAAGCCCTGCCCACACCCGCAGCAGGTCTAATCCTTCCCTACAAAAGCTCCTCTGATTCATATCTAAATATCCCCAGAGGCTCACGTGTCAGGCTTGATCCCAAGCCTGTGTGCTGTTGAGATGTGATTGGGCAAGGAGAATGCTCATCTGACCAATGAATCATCCCCAGAAGAGTGACAGGAAAGAGGCTCCTGCTTTCAGGCCTGACTCCACAGCCCGCATCAGGTCATCAATCAAGGGTCATTGCTGTGACTGGACAGCTTATATCTGCGGCACCTGATCCTCCATGCTGCCTGTCACATGCTCTATGCCGAACCAAATCACATGATCCAGAACTTCCTAAAAGTCAGACCTATGCTTTGTTGGAGAAAGAGTCTGAGATTCCTCAGGACCTGCTCGGGGACGTGCAGTGACAGGCTTCTCTCTGCAGAGGCTCCTCTGGCCTCCCATCCTCCCGCCATGCCTCTGGGGTGCCTCTCTCTTTCTAGCTCTTTAATTTGCATTTATTTTTTTATTATTTTATGTGTATTGGTGTTTTTTCTGCATTTATGACTAGGACATACACTGTGAGCTGGATTACAGACAGCTGTGAGCTGCCACCTGGGTCCTCTGGAAGAGCCATCTCTCTCTTCCCATAAAGTTAGGGCTCCATAGTGTTCAGTGCTCCCCTTCCCAGCTCACAGCCAACCATGGCCGTGAGGCTCTCTCACTAGAATCTTCATTGACTACATTGTAAGTCAGCTTCCTTCAGGACCAGGCTGCCCTCTCTCCTCACCTTGACCTCAGCAGTTCACAACTAACTGTGCTATTAGGAAGGTGGGCCTAGCTGGAGAGGGTGTGTGGTTAGGAAAGGTATCCACCCTCTGTCTCTCTCTCCCCACCCCTCTCTCCCTTAGGTCATGTGACTTCGTTTGGCATAGCATGTGCCACAGGGAGCATGGAAGAGAGAGCTACAGGAAGGCATAGCCTCTCTCATGTCACACGGCAACTAGGAGAGCCCGAGTCCAGCACGGAAACTGGAGAGAGATACCCGTTTCCTCTCAGTGGAGTGGAGAACCCTGAGATGGAGGAGATGAACAAACTTCACGACTGTACTAGGGAAGCAGCAAACACAGCCGGAAGAGGAGACTGGCGAGTCAAGCTACAAAGAGTTCACTCAGAACTGCTGAGCTGCCTGCAGATTCTGCAGCCAGGGCCCCCATTGCAGCTTTCGTCAGCTGTCACTCATGGGAGAAGGCTTTTCGGCAATGCGGCTATTTTTAGGCTACCCCTGCTACGGCAGGTAACCCCTGACACATACTCCTGTTAGTAACCCCGTAAAACCTCATTGGCTCACCAAACTGGAGCTTGGTGCAGTCTACTGTGGTCTGTAGAGTTCCTGTTCTGGACTGAGTGAACCTGTGTACGCAGCTTCTCCCCAGAAAAGACTCTCCCACAACACCTCCACAAGTACAGGGCAGGAGGAGTTAGTTAGCAACAAGGAAATGGGAAAAGCAGCAGAGAGCTGAGAATGGCTGACCAGTAGAATGCTTGCCTTCCAGGCACTACCCCCAGTATTGCTTAAATAGCAAGCACGTGGTGACACGAGCTTGAAATCACCTACTGCACAGGAGTGGTGGAGGCAGAAGGCCTGAGTTCAAGGCCAGCTAGCATATTCAAAGCTTGCCTGGGATACAAGACACCCTGTCTCAAAAAAAAAAAAAAAAAAAAAAAAAAAAAAAAAAAGAAGCAGATGCTCTCCAATCCAAGGTCCTACTCTCCTCACCCTCTGCTCCAAATCAAGCTGGCGTCCAGCTGGTGACAGTGCCCTCCCCAGGGTCAGCAGTCTCGGGGAGGCCGGACGAGGAAAAGGAAGCCCATAGGCTTGGTTTCTGCGCATGCGCTCCAGCTGCTCCTGCGCACTCATGCGAGGCCGCGCCACGGGGACCTGCAGAGAGACAGACCAAGACTCTAACCTTCAGTTTCCTCATTCTTTTTGTCCCAGGAACTCCCCACCAATAGTCAGGCACTTCACAGACCATTAGAGCTTAGGGGACCCCTGGACACCAGAGGCTGCTGCGCCCTCTCCCTGACCTGCAGCTAAGAACAAAGGCTTCCCATTCCCTGTGCAGCCTGACTCCTACCACATCTTCGACCTCCTTCCATCACCTGCTGTGCCTTACGACAAGGAAGCATCATGCTCCTGGGCATGTCAGCTTCTCCCAATAACTTGATACTAAGTGGAAAATGCTGGCCCTTTTAGCCGGAGAAGTGCGGCAGAATGAACCCAAGGCTTCCTTCTCTGTGGCTTCCTCTGCTTTGCTCTGAACCACGCCCCTAGCCCCTCACTGGGGGATTCTAGGCAGGGCTCTACCACTGAGCCACGCCCTGTTTATTTTAAATCTCACGCCATTGTGCTAAGTGAGGCTATTAGTGCCGGTCCAAAGATGACAAGTGCAGAGGCTCAGAGGCGCTTAGTAACTACCCCAAATCACACAGCTAATAATATTTGAGATACTAATCCTGTCTGCTCTGGTTATGGTCTTCTACCTGGCCTCTCCTAGTGCTGGGAGGTCAGAAGTGATCCAGCACAGACATGAGGCAGATTTAAGGTGTCTACCTTAGTGTTCAGGGATGAAGGTTGACGACCTTCAGGACTGGATGCTCGGGAGACCCTGGGAGACTCAACACCTTAAAGCAGAAGGGGACTTAGTCAGAACAAGATCACAGAGAGATTCCCACCCTACCAGGGTGCTCACCTGAGTGAGGGCTGAGGAGGGCTCTGTCACCTCCTGGGGGTCGACCCCAGTCCACCTCAGGGGACTGAAGGGGGCTAAGCTCCAGTGACTCCGGAAGGCTCTGGAAGGAAAAAGTGGGGGGTCAATTATTGTCTTTCATTCTTATTATTACTACTACCACAGATTTTCAAGTATTTGCCAGTTGGGGCACATCACGGAAAAGATTAAGGTGACAAACCCAGAGGTAGATACACTGACTTCAAACCCCATCTCTGCCACTTACTGGCTGTGTGACTTCGAACAAGCTGCTCAACATCAAAAGTAGCGCCCCTTTTGACATGTGAAGAGTTGCTGTGAACACGGACACATGTGTGAGGTTTCCCAGGAATGCACAGGGCGCCATGCTATGGCGTTGACCTGGCTGATATGGTGGTGTTTGGGCGGGATGGGGGGCTTCCCAGGGGAGCAACTGCCTTTGAGTCTAAGTTACACATGCACGCTCCTGTAAGTACCCTAAAAACTCGGCGGGTCACCAAAGCCCACTTGATGTCGTCTTTGGTGCGGATGCCCTAAAGTGGCTGGGGTGGATAGAAAAGTCAGGAGTCGGACAGAGCAGTGTGGGAGGAACCTAGCAGCCCTGCGGCAGGGAAGACCTGATAGAGGGTGGCTTCCTGAGAGTGCTTTGATCGTGAAGAATCACCATGGAAAGCAGCGAGGGTTTGTTTTTTCTGAAGGGGACATTGCGGACTTTGCATGACCTTGGCCACAAATGCTTTCAGTGCACCTGAAGCTCTTGGATTACTGGGAACTGCAGGTGGTCACAAAGGAACTGAAGTAGCCAGGGTGTGATGCTTTCCTCTAGAGAAATATATGAACTAGAATAGGGACTTGGAATGAGGAACTTGTTTATCCAAAACACAACTTTGTGTAACAATCAATAAATGTGCCGTTGTGTGGCTGTTCAGTTCAGGTCACAGGAAGCTGGGCCTTCCTGCTGCCACACAGCCCCCTTGGACTGATCTCTTTCTTTGACCAACTCACACAACACAGTGCACCAAACAGAATAATAAATAACAATATATTACTGGGCAGTAGTATAGCTTTCAATCTCATCAGTCTGGAGGCAGAGGCAGGTGGATCTCTGTGAGTTCAAGGCCAGCCTGGTCAAGTTCCAGGACAGCCAGGGCTACACAGAGAAACCCTGTCTCAAAAACAAAAACATCCCCCCAAAGAAAAATAGCAATATATACACTAAATAAGGGGCTGGTGCATTCTCTCAGCAGATAGGGTGCTGGCCACCATGTCTGACGATTTAAGTCTCATCCCCAAGGTCTACACAGTGGAAGGCGAGAACTGATTCTCACGAACTGTCCCTGACCTCACATCGTTGTGATGTGGGTATACAACACACACAAAAGTGCACACAAGGTGCCCTGAGGGGATCCCTCCATCAGCTTGGGCTGTGGGCGTGTCTGTAGGGACTGTCTCATTGCTAAGGGAAGACCCAGCCTGAAAGGGGATGGTACCATTGCCTGGGGCCAGGTCCTGGGAGCAAATTGAAGAGGACACAATTGAAAAGGTGGCCCAGTGGTTAGAGCACTTGCTCTCGCACAGGACCCAGGTTCAAGTCCCGGCATTTACATGATGGCTGCCAACCATTCTAACCAGTCCCAGGGATTCCATGCCCTCCCTCCCCCCCTCCACAGTCGTGGGACTGGGTGGGTGATCAAGGGAAAGGGAAAAAGGTGGGTGGGGGCTCACTGGGTTAGGACAGGCAAGACAGGAACCTGGGGAGGAGCTGGAAATCTCACCTCCCGCTCTGATGACTCCTCTCTTTGGGGTGCAGGGGATGGAGACTTGGGCTCAGTATGTGGGGGCTGTTTCTGGGGGCCACCTAGACCTGCCAGCGTGTCCTCCACCATCCATAGCTGCTGCTGGGCAGCTGCTCGGTCCTGGAAGGAAAGGGTTTGTTCAAGAGGAAAACATACAAGGGTGGCACCAGCAGGTGGGCCCACCCAGAAGGCTCTAACGTCAGCTGTGACGGTTTCCAGCCTTACAAACTCCATGTGCCATGCATGGTCCCTGTGCCTGTGTAGGTTAAAAGGCTTGTGAGAATTCTTTTTTTCTTCCAATGTGTGGGTCCCTGAGATTGAACTTCGGCCATCAGTCTTGGCAAATGCCTTTACCTACTAAGCCATCTTACTAGCCCAAAACTTTTTTAAAATTTATTTATTTTTATTCATGTGTGTGGATGTGTCTCCCTGTGTGCATGCTAATGTGTGAAGGACATCAGATCCCTTGGGGGTGGAGCTGCAGGAGTTTGTGAGCAAACCCATGTGGGTGTGGAATCTGAGCTCCAGTCCTCTCAGGGAGCAGTTAGTGCTTGGAACTACTGAGCCATGTCTGCCGCCGTATGCTCTCAAACGTATACAAGATCTGCGTGCTGCCACTGGGGACACCAGTTTGAAGAGCCCACATCTCACACTGCTGCCTCTCCTGTCTGTGACCTGGCACACCTCTGCTTTATACAGCTGTTGAGACACAATGTGCCCAGGTCTTTTCCCTGTCTCCCCCCCCCCACACACACACACACACTGGTGTTTGGCCTGCATGTCTGTGTGAGGGTGTCAGATCCCCTGGAACTGTAATTGCAGATAGGTGTGAGCTGCCATGTGGGCGCTGGGAATTGAATCCCAAGTTCCCTGGAAGAACAGCCCTCTGTCCAGCCCGTTTTATACAGCTTTAGAGATAACTGGAGGTGTCTGTGGCTTTCAGTGAGGTCCGGCCTACCCTTCGCTAGGTCTAACTCATTTCATTTTAAAGCCCATCGCTCTTGTTGGTTTTGCTTTTGAAACAGTGTCCTGTTATCTGTTTACTTATTTATTTTTGTTTTTTTCGAGCCAGGGTTTCTCTATGTAACAGACCTAGCTGTCCTGAAACTCGCTCTGTGGCAGGCTGGCCTCTGCCTCCCGAGTCCTGGGGTTAAAGGAGTGTGCCACCACTGTCCGACTTGAGCCAATGTCCTGCTATAGCAGGTCCAGCAAACTTTTAATTAATTATTTTTTATTTTGATATGTCCTGTTCATAATACTTATTTTTTTTTACTTAAAAATAAATTATGGCCAGGTGGTGGTGGAATTTTGAGTCATCTTGCCTCAGTCTCCTGATTGCTTGAATTACAGGGGTGCACCCCAACAAAACAAAATTTGGAGTTCTGTAGAAACAAGTGAGCAGCCAGGCATACAGGTGCACACGATAGGCTATTTACAGCAGGCATAAAGCAGGTTGGATGAGATGAACAATTGAGGGACAGAGGCAGGAGGATCACCATATTTTCTAGCCAAATTAGTTCAAGGCCAGCCAAGGCTACAACACCAGGCCTTGTCTCAAAAAACAGCAGAGAAAAGTCAGGCATGGTGGCACATGCCTTTTATCCTAGCACTAACTATGAAGGAAGAGGGCAGGCAGATCTCTGTGAGTTCTAGGCCAGCCTGGTCTATAGAGCCAGTTCCAGGACAGCCAGAGCCACACAGAGAAACCCTGGCTTATACCACGCCCCTCCGTCCCACCACCAACAAACAATAGCAAAAACAGAGAGCTAGAGAAATGGTTCTGCCGGTTCTGCCTGCAAGGGGCTTGCTGTGTAGGCTTAAGGACCCCAATTCAATACCAGAAACTCAGATAAAGTCAGACGTACAGGCACAAGCTTGTCCTCTCGGCACTGGGGAGGCAGAGATGGGCAGAACTCTGGGGCTCACTAGCCTAGAGACCCGGTCCGAGGAACAAGGTGCGCGGTGCCCGAGGATGTTGTTCCCTGGCTTCCACAGGCACCCACACCTGCACACACTTACACACAAAATACACAGGCACACGCACCTGCACACACTTACACACAAAATACACAGGCACACGCACCTGCACACACTTACACACAAAATGTAAGGGGAAAGAAGAGAGAAAAGCTGGGAGAGGAGAGAGAGCGCCAACGCACAGAAACCCCAGGATAAACTTAACAGTAACTGGCTGGAGATGGGCCCTAGACATCAACTTTTGAAGTGGGGGGAGCCAGGCTTAGCTGTGGCATTTAAAGGCGCAAGCAGGGCTCCACGTGAGAGGAGCCATTTAGAACCAGCCAGAAGCAGCTTTCGGAACCTAGGTCTTTAGGACAGTAAGGGACTTAGAAAGGGAGGAACTCGAGGAGGCTGGGACACTGTCTGATGGCTAGGCTGCGTCTAAGAATATTTCCAGAGATGGTTAGCTGAGAGAGGAAGACCACACGGACCTAAGTCACAGCGTCCCCAGAATGAGTCAAAGAGACAGAAGAGAAAACCAAAGGAAGGCGGATCTCTAGGAGTTGAAGGACAGCCTGATCTACACAGCTAGTTCTAGGACATCCACTGCTATGTGAATGTAACAGAGAGACCTTGTCTTGGTGGTGGTGGGGGGGGGGGGGGGTTAAGAGCATCTGCTGCTCTTCCAGAGGACTTAAGTTTGGTTCTCAGCACCCACATAACTGATTCTAACTCCAGTTCCAGGGACTCCAACACCCTCTCCTGGCCTCCAAGGACACACACACACACACATATATACATATACATATATATATATACACACACACATATATATACATACACACTTAAATAAAAAATAATAAATCTTAAAATCTAAAAACAGAAGCAAAGCATTCAAGACTTGTTTAAAGAGAAGAGTGACTGAGCTAGAGCCACTCTAGCCAGCATTTCCTGACTCTGCTGTTTTTCATGTTTATTTTGATGATTATAAATAGGAGTAGAGCCAGGCGTTGGTGGCGCATGCCTTTAATCCCAGCACTCGGGAGGCAGAGGCAGACGGATCTCTGTGAGTTCGAGACCAGCCTGGTCTACAGAGCTAGTTCCAGGACAGGCTCCAAAGCCACAGAGAAACCCTGTCTCGAAAAATCAAAAAAAAAAAAAAAAAAAAAATAGGAGGGCTGGAGAGATGGCTCAGCGGTTAAGAGCACTGGCTGCTCTTCCAGAGGTCCTGAGTTCAATTCCCAGCAACCACATGGTGGCTCACAGTCATCTATAATGAGATCTGGTGCCCTCTCCTGGAATGTGGGCTTACATGGAGGCAGAATGTTGTATACATAATAAATAAATAAATCTTTAAAAAAAAATAGGAGTAGATGTGTTTCTGTATGTGAGGATGCGCGTGTGAGTGTGGTGTGTGTGGACAGCCACTGTGTGGGTGCTGGGAACTGGACCACGGTCCTCTCCAAGAGCAGCAGGTGCTCTTGAGCTGGGCCATCTCTGCAGCCCTGACTCTTGCAACTTGATCCAGCAAGATCGGAGAAGTCCCAGGCCCTATTCCTGCCACCATGAGCTCTGTCTTACCTTCCCCACAGTGAAGAACCCCATATACTCACCCCACAAACCAAATAAAACCTATTGTAACACATTTCCCTAATTGCTTCTTGTTGAATATTGGGTCACATCAAGAAGAAAGTCACCAATCCAGGGGATGGGACTCGGCCCCCGGACAGGGCTGGCATGGCCACAGTTCCCAGGTGGTACTTGAAGTACTGAGAGCCTGTGGCTCAGGTGCTGTGGGCAGGGAGGAAAGGGTGGGGGTGTACCTGGGGAGACCCGAGGTGCAGAAGGTATTCGAGGGTCTCCCTTAAGGTGCTCAGGTCCTGCTCCAGGCCACTGTAGGTGTCCCAAACCTGCTCTCGTTCCTAGAGTCCCCAAAAAAAGGGGGAGATACAAGGTTAGTCCTTCAAACCACCAGATACTGCCCCAGCGGAGGAGGGAGGCTTCCTCTGGGTAATCTCACTCCAAAAGGACTTCAACTCCATGACTTTGCCTGAACTACTGAGAAGCCCAGGCCACATGCTTCAGTGATCCCCATGAACATGAACTGATCCTAAGTCATGCAGCCTAGCAGCCTACAGATAAAATCTATTCACATCTGTGTTTTAACATGATCTTCACAAGGATCATATGAAGTAGATACAATGTCTTCTTTTAGATGTATTTACAGGCATGAGTGTTTTGCCTGTATGTTTGTGTGTGTATCATGTACACGGAGGCCAGAGAGGGTGTCAGATTCCCTGGAACTGGAGTTACAGATGGCTATGAGCCAACATGTGGGTGCTGGGAATTGAACCCAGGTTCTCCAGGACAGCAAAAGTGCTCTTAAATCATCGAGCAAGCTCTCCTATACATTTTTTTTTTGAGACAGTCTATGTAACCCCAGCTGTCCTGGAACTCACTCTGTCCACCAGGCAGGCTGACCTCAAACTCACAGGCATCCCTGGTGGAGACACTGGTGCACACACACACACATAATAAGAACACATGTTTAAGAGGTTATAGATTGGGGCTGGAGAGATGGCTCAGAGGTTAAGAGCATTGCCTGCTCTTCCAAAGGTCCTGAGTTCAATTCCCAGCAACCACATGGTGGCTCACAACCATCTGTAATGAGGTCTGGTGCCCTCTTCTGGACGAGCAGGCATACACACAGACAGAATATTGTATACATAATAAATAAATAAATAAATATTAAAAAAAAGAAAAAAAAGCAAACAAAAGAAAAGAAAAAAAAACCATAGCAAGAACACTGTGGAAAGAACTCCAAGTGATACTTGTTAAGTCTCAAAGAAACCAGAGACAAAGGCCAACCAAAGAGGACACTGGCCACCAGCATAGCCAGTTCTGGCTCCTAAGCATCGTGCCCTATGCTGAACCTCTCCAGTCCCTTCCCTCCCCTCCTCTCCCCTCCCCCTCCCTTCCCTTCCCTTCCCCCAGCTTCTCTGATTCCTAAATAACCTCAGCCATTTGAGTACACAGCTTCTTGGTCTCTGGGTCCTCTGCTCCTCTCTTTGCTCTGCTTCCCCACCCCTTTCTCTCCTTCCCCGTTTAGTCCAGACTTTTCCTGATGCCTCAGGCTGTTCTCTCCCTCCTGTATATAATAAACCTCCTCAACCACACCCAGGCGTGGCCATGTCCTCATTATTTCATTCAGTGCCTTATTTCATCAGCCACGGGGAAATAAGAGAACTTACACAGGGAACCTGGATGTTCCTTTCAAGGCTCCTTGGCCAAGAGACAACCACCCTGGGGAGTGGGGTGGTCAAGCAAGAGAGGACTCTAGTGGATTCCTGGTGCTGCAGGAAACCTACCAGCAAAATCATGGAGGCCCGGGTCCCAGGGGGTCGCGGAGGCAGCTGCAGATAGGTGGAAGAATCAGAGGAGGCCTGGGTAGACTGAAATAAAAATGCTTAGAAAGGTCTTATTAGGCCTAGAGGCACCCAGCAAAATTCTTCAAAGACCTCAAAAGAACTGTACTCAACTTCATTTGGAAAAGCAAACAACCCAGGATAGCCAAAACAATCCTGGGCAATAAAAGAACTTCTGGAGGCATCACAATCCCTGACTTCAAACTCTACTACAGAGATACAGTACAGAAAACAGCCTGGTACTGGCATAAGAACAGACAGGACGACCAATATAACCGAATAGAAGACCCGGATATCAATCCACACATCTTTGAACACCTGATATTTGATAAAGAAGCAAAAAAAAATCAAATGGAAAAAAGAAAGCATATTTAACAAGTGGTGCTGGCATAATTGGATATCAATATGTAGAAACATGAAAATAGACCCATATCTATCACCATGCACAAAAATCAAGTCCAAATGGATCAAAGGCATCAACATAAAGCCAGCCACACTGAACCTTACAGAAGAGAAAATGGGAAATACACTTGAACGCATTGACACTGGAGACCACTTCCTAAATAGAACCCCAGCAGCACAGACACTGAGAGAAACAATTAATAAATGGGACCTCCTGAAACTGAAAAGCTTCTGTAAGGCAAATGACACGGTCAACAAGACAAAATGACAGCCTACAGAATGGGAAAAGATCTTCACTAACCCCACATCAGAGAGAGGGCTGATCTCCAAAATATACAAAGAACTCAAGAAATTGGACATCAAAAGTTCATATAATCCAATAGAAAAAATGGAGTACAGACCTAAACAGAGAACTCTCAACAGAGGAATCTACAATGGCTGAAAGACACTAAAGGAAATGTTCAACATCCTTAGTCATCAGAGAAATGCAAATCAAAACAACTCTGAGATTCCATCTTACACCTGTAAGAATGACCAAGATCAAAAACACTGATGACAACTTATGCTGGAGAGGTTGTGGGGAAAAGGGAACACTTCTGCATTGCTGGTGGGAATGCAAGCTAGTACAGCCCCTTTGGATGTCAGTGTGGCAATTTCTCAGAAAATTAGGAAACAACCTTCCTCAAGACCCAATAATTCCACTTTTGTGTATATATCCAAAAGAAGCTCAATTGTGCCACAAGGACATGTACTCAACTATGTTCACAGAAGCTTTGTTTGTCATCGCTAGAACCTGGAAACAACCTAAATGCCCCTCTACTGAAGAATGGATAAGGAAAATGTGGTACATTTACACAATGGAGTACTACACAGCAGAAAAAAAATAATGAAAGCTTGAATTTTGCAGGAAAATGGACGGAGCTATTTTTATTTTGAGTGAGGTAACCCAGACACAGAAAGACAATTATCACATGTACTTACTCATAGCTGATTTTTAAACATAAAGCAAAGAAAGCCAGCCTACAAACCACAATCCCAGAGAACTTAGACCACAATGCGGACACTAAGAGAGACTTACATAGATCTAATCTACATGGGAAGTAGAAAGTAGAAAAAGACAAGATCTCGGGCTGGAGAGATGGCTCAGTGGTTAAGAGCATTGCCTGCTCTTCCAAAGGTCCTGAGTTCAATTCCTGGCAACCACATGGTGGCTCACAACCATCTGTAATGAGGTCTGGTGCCCTCTTCTGGACTACAGATATACACACAGACAGAATATTGTATACATAATAAATAAATTAATTAAAAGACAAGATCTCCTGAGTAAATTGAGAGCATGGGGACCTTGGGGGAGGACTGAAGGGGGTAGGGAAGAGGCAGGGAGGGAAGCAGAGAAAAATGTAGAGCTCAATAAATATCAATAAAAAAATTAGTCCTCATGTCATAGGCCATTAACTCAGGTACTCTGGAGGCCTAAGTTACAGAGTGAGTTCAAGGCCAGCCTGGGCAACTTAGGGAGACCACGTCTCAAAATAAGTTAAAAAGAGGACTAGGCGGTGTGGGAACCAAAAAAAAAAAAAAAAAAAAAAGAGGACTAGGGAGTAGATCAGTGGTAGAGTGCTTACCTAGAATGGCCAGACTGTGGGTTCAGAGCGCGCGCGCGCACGCGCGCGCGCACACACACACACACACACACACACACACCCTCAACTCTAGTGGCCCCACACACAAGTTATTACTCAATGGACAAGCCTGGCAAAACCGTTAGAGGCTGTAGGAAGTTAGCTGCAGATATTCTAGGCTATAAATCCATGACTCTTAGAGAAATTATCAAGTAGCTGGCACTATCTTGAAACAATAACTGGAAACCAAACTATGCCTCCATTTGACGTAGAGTATTATGAACTACAATACCCACAATACATAGGAGCAATGTCACAAAAATAATCCTGAGGCCTGATGGGGCATGAAACCCATTTGCCTTTGATTTGGAGGGCTGGGAAAACCAGTTGCATTGTGAACTATAATCCCCATAATGCCAGAGTGATTCGATCACTGGCCTGGAAAGAGAGCTCTGAAGCCTTATGAGAAATGTAGTCCGCTCTGTCCGCGCACCTGTGTTCTAGGCTCTTGTCCCCAGGGTTGGGGACTCCTGGGTGGCCGCCCTCCGCCAGCTTCGGAGGAGGGTCCACGGCGTGGAGTGGGTGGTCGAGAAAGGGTCTGTCTTTGGGGCCCCCAATCCAGAGGAGGTCGGACATCGATGCGACTCAAGGGAGTGTGAGGTCGGGCAGGAAATGCTATCTCTCCTGCTGAGAGAGGGGGTCGCCGTGCGGGAGCAGAACGAGGACGGGGAAGGCTCAGAGGAGAAGGCGGGCGGGAGAGGGATGAGAACAGCCTATGGAGAGGAAAGAATCGGGGAACTGAGGTAGTCTGAGCCTCTGCTTCCATCCACCTCAGTACCCAATAAGGATGTCTGGCTTCCCGGGTTGCACTGCCCCTCTCTGCTGGACAGATTGTAGGTGAGTTCCCTTTGGGAACATCTGCGTCCACTTTGCTAAGGGTCAAGCCACCACCAAGGTCCCTTAAGCCACGCCTCCAACCTGCTAGCTCCTTCCTTAGACCACCAACCATTCCTTACTGATTAAACTACTTCTTTAACGCCCACTTCCCTTATGCCACGCCCTGATAACAACAGGGCTCCGCCCTAAGTCCCCAAAGTGTTCCTACTTACTCTGGGCTCCTGGTCCTACTCCCCGTGCGAGGCTGCAGTTCAGCTGTGGGGCTAGACCTGTACGTTCCATGGCTGCCACGACCTCTGGAGAGCCTTGCTACCTCTGGTGATTCCGAGATGCGCCCCTCTTCCCTTCTGCTCCCCTCTGGAGGCCCCCCGGGACCCCCGGGACCTTCTCCCGGCTGGGGACGTGCAGGTGACCTAGGTAGTCCACTAGCAAATGGGCACAGAGAACGACATCACTCTTGCTCCTAAAAGGTCACTGGGTCTACTGGCACAGGACCCAGGGTCCTGAGGCTAGGAACTGGGCAAGCTGGGAAAGTCCCTGAGACAGTCGACATTTGAGGGGGGAAATGGGGGTTGAGGTGATATTGTCTTGACCTGGGTTGTTCTTTTTTTTTTTTTTTTTTTTTTAAACATTTGGCCATCGTGGGTGGGTAAAAATGGAACCATTGCCCGGAAAAAAATAATAATAATAAATCAGCCCTGGGGAGGAGGAAGAGGCAGGTGGTTCCAGGCCAACCAGACTTATACAGGGAGACCTGGTCTCAAAATCCAAAACTAAACAAACAACAAACAGCTAGGCATGGCTCTGCATGCCAATACCCACGGAAACTGAGGAGCTGAGACGGTTAGACCCTGAGAGCTTATGGGCTACCCAGCCTAACTAAGGCAAGCTTCCAGCTCAGTGAGACCCTGTTTCCAAGGCAATAAGATAGGCAGTAACAGAAAAGTATACCTGGCTGGAGAGATGGCTCAGAGGTTAAGAGCACTAGCAGCTCTTCCAGAGGTTTTGCGTTCAATTCCCAGCAACCACATGGTGGCTCACAACCATCTGCAATGAGATCTGGTGCCCTCTTCTGGCGTGCATACAAACATTCATACAGAATACTGTAGCCATAATAAATAAATACATCTTAAAGAAAAATACTGTCCTGCTCTGGCCTCCACACAGACACACACACTTTTAGGGCTGGAGAGGTCACTCGATGCTAGACAGCTTGCTTAAAGTATGAAATCCTGGCTTCACCTCCCAGTAAATAGCAGGAGCTGGAGAGGTAGCCTAGCAGTTAAGAGTGCTTTCTCCTCCTTCAGAGACCCGAGTTCAGCTCTTCGTGATCACCTGTAACTAGTTCCAGAGGGATGCAACACCTCTAGCCTCCACTAGCACCCACACAGACATACAACCAAACAAAAACTCACACAAGGCTGGGGTGTGGCTCAGTCAGTAGTGCCTGCCTAGTTGTTGGTATACAAGAATCCCCGAGGACAAGTCCCCACAGCGCCGAGTGAGGAATCTGGAACTCCAGCACTTGCAAGGTGGCCGTGGTGTGATCAGAAGTTCAAGGTGATCAACTACACAGCTAGTCTGGACTATTCGAGACCTTGTTCAAAAACAAAACCCGTGTGGTTGTACAGGCCTGCTTTTAATCCCGGGGCAAAGGCAAACCTGGTCTACATAGAGAGTTTTCAGAACAACCTGGTCTACATAAAAAGTAATAAGTAAATTTTACAAGCTTTTGTTTTGTTTTGTTTTGTTTTGTTTTGTTTGTCAAGACAGAGTTTCTCTGTGTAACCAACCTGGCTGCCTTGGAACTCACTTTGTAGACCAGGCTGGCCTCAGACTCTTTGAGACCCACTTACTGCTGCCTCTCAAGTGCTGGGATTAAAGGCATGTGCCACCACTGCCCGGCTTTTTACATTTTAAAATGTGGCCTGGCCTTGTAGCTGGAGAGACAACTCAGGTTAAGAGCACTTTTTGCTCTTCCAGAAGACCTGGCCTCAATTTAGCACCCTCAAGACAGTTCACAACTGTAATTCCAGTTCCAGGGGATCTGACACCCTCTTCTGGCCACTGAGGGTACCATGCACATATGTGGTTCATGCTAGTAAACACTCATATACATGAAATAAAAAGAAACAAGTCTTTTTAAAAATGTGACAAGGGCCAGCGGTGGTGGAGGCAGAGGCAGGTGGATCTCTGTGAGTTTGAGGCCAGCCTGGTCTACAGAGTAAGTTCCAGGACAGGCTCCAGAATACCTTGACTAGAGGGTCAGTTAGAAGTCAGTGGACAAGAAGGTAGGCAGATCTTAAAAGAGAAAACCTTTTTGCTATTGCAGAAAGTTCCTTGGGGGGAGGGGGTCTTTGATGGTAGGGTCCACTTATGTGACAGCTACTAATTGCATATTTAAATGACTGCCCTACAAAGGGAGGAGCTTGATGGGGAATGTACATAGCTCACTCACCAGTCCTCCCCTTCTGCGCGAGAGGCCCTCCCCAGAGCTCGCAGCCAGCCTCTTAGGTCCTCCAGTGTGTCAGCTGCAAGGACATAGGTCCTCATGCCCGGGTGCTCTGCCTGCAAGGGACAGAGGTTTGGAACCAGAACTCAGAGGAAGTGCCGTAAGACCTCTCCAAGCATGGAAACCCCAAGGCGTGGTCACCTCAAGTTCCCACCTACCACCTAACAAGAACCCACAAACATACTCACTGTGAAGGTGAATCGCCGGCCCCGTGGGGCTCCTGGCCCATCCGGTCTGACGCTGTAGCTGGGTAAGAGTACACTGCCCAGGACACTCTCCTCTCTGCTGTCTGCAGAGGGCAGTTGGGGTCAGAAGTCAGGAAGGTGTCAGGGCAACTGGAAGCCTGGGAGAGGAACTGGTGGGAAAGGGCCAGCCGGGACACTGACCCTTGTAGTAGAAGAGGCAGTGTCCTGAGAGGACGAACCAACGGCGTTTCCACAGCCGGAGGCCTGAGCTGTCCTAGGGAGAGAGATAAGAAAGGGCCTCAGCAGAGAGCAGAGAAGAGAAAGTTGCCCCGGGGGACAGAGGGACAGAGACTAGGTGGAGGGAAAGACAGAGACAGAGGGACAAAGGTCCAGAGAGACCTGAGGAAAGAGAGATGGGGGCAGAGACCCAGAGAGAGGCAGGCAAAGAGAGAGAGGAAGGGAGGGAAGGAAGGAGGGAGGGAGGGAGGGAGGGAGGGAGGGAGGGAGGAGGGAAGGAAGGAGGGAGGGGGAGAAGGAGAGCCTAAAGGGACTGGGGTGACCAATAGGTATGTGTTGGTACGATGGATAAGTGAAAACTGGGTGCCTGACCGAGTGATAGCACATTTGGTTCTAGGCTTGGTCACTTTTTCTATGTTGTCCTGGCTGCCCTGGAATGTAGACCAGGCTTGCCCACAGAGATCTGTGCACCTCTGCCTCAGGAGTTCTGGGATCAAATGCGTGTGCCACCATGCTCTGCGCTCCACCTTGATCTTAGATGCTCAGATACCTGTTCCTCTCCCGTGCACATAACCTGTGTCCTGGGGCCAGGAACAGGAAATAGTCCAAACACAGACAGAGAAGAAATGGCTAAGGTTCAGAGGAAAGAGTAAGAGGTTGAGGGTCAGGCGGCAGAGGCATGCCATATCCATCATGTCGGGAATAAGGAAGGAAATTCGACAGCAAGTCTCAGCACCTAGGGACACAGCTTTCCCGCCATCCTTACCTGCTTGTGCAGCCAGCCACGTATGTGCACGGGCAGGTTGGGGTCTCGCCGAAGTGCATTGTTCCTTTTTCCAAAGGCATGGACCCTGTGTACCGCACGGGTAGGCTTCTAGTTGTGAGAACAGAAGTGAATAGCCAGCCCGTGGTGGCACACACCTTTTTTAATCCCAGCACTTGGGATACAGAGGCAGAGGATCTCTGTGAGTTTGAGGCCAACCTGGTCTACAGAGAGAGTTCCAGGACATCCAAGAGTGTTACACAGAAAAACCCTGCCTTTCTCTCCTGGGACTGGCTGTGCAGTGACCTCTCTCTCTTAAAGGTCAGGCCAGGAGGCTGAGCACAGTAGCACTGCCTACCTAGCCAGCCCTTGGGATGTGGATGATGGAGGATCAGGATTCAAGGGAGTTCCAGGACAGTCTGTGCTGTTTGAGAACAAGTCTCAAAACAAGCAAACAAAACCAATGACAAGGGATTGAGTTAGCTCTGTTTACACGGTGCTTCCTCTTTGTACATGAAGCACAAGTCCTAGAGTTGTTCACACTTGCAATTCCATCCCAGTGGAGACAGCAGCAGAATCAGAAGTTCAAGGTGGGTGGGTGGTGGCCATTCCTTTAAACCTAGGACTCAGGAGGCAAAGGCAGGCTGATTTCTGAGTTTGAGACCAGCCTGGTCTACAGAGGGAGCTCCAGAACAGCTAGGGCTACGCAGAGAAACCCTGTCTCTCAACAACAGCAACAGTAACAAGTTCAGGTCATTTTTTGACTACCTAGGAAGTCAAGCAGTCTGGGCTCCATGAGACCCTGTAGAGATGCCCCTGGCAAGAACACACTCTTACCTGCCATAGCCAGAAATGCCAAAAAATAAAAAACCCTCTACAATCCCCACAGGGCGTATGGGCTGGGAGTTCCCCACAGAAGTCCTGGGAAGTGAAAGGAGAGAAGGTGGTCTTTGATGCTGGGCAGAGACTTCCTCAGCAAGCGAGTTCAAGGTAGAGATGGGGCTTCTCACCCTTCCTTTCTCTCAGAGGGGCACCTGTCGACACACAGACTTCACAGACCCCCATGTCCAAGCTGCCTTGGACTCCTCCTTGGGAGTCGGATGACCAAGACTGGAATCAAATCTCTGGGTTCTGAATTTAAGGGAGTAAGGTGAACTTTGTCCTAGGTGATATTTATGTAGCCCAGGCTATCCTCAAATCACTAGGTAGCCAAGGATGACCTTGAATTTCTGATCCTCCTGCCTCTACTTCTTGAATGTTGAAATTTGAGGTGTGTGCCACCATACCTGGCTTCTTCTTTCGTGTTTTGTTTTGTTGTTGTTTTTCAAGAAAGAGTCTCACTATGTAGCTCTGGCTGTTCTAGAACTCACTACATAAACCAGGCTGGCCTCAAACTCACCAAGATCCACCTGCCTTTGCTCCCCAGTGCTGGAATTAAAGGCGTGTGCCACACTACATCTGGCTCTGGTTTGGGATTTTTCGCGTGAGGCAGTGTCTCACCCAGGCCAATCTATATCTCTGCCGTCATCTCCCCTATACTGAATTACAGTTGTGAACCACCATGCCTGGTTGTTAGTGGGTGGGTTCCCCTGTTGTAGACTGGAGAGGAAGTCCCCTAAGCCAGTCAGGAGCAGCCACCTCCTTTCAGTCTAGGTTTGTGGAAGGCTGAGAGGGTGGGGACAGAGCTGGGAATGTCTCCAAGTTCCAACTGCAGCTGATGCTCAACTAGGGGCCAGTCTGGCAGACCCAATCACTAAGGAACCTTGTCCTTGACAACTGGAGCCCAGTGGTGGCACAGAACCACAGCTAGGAAATGGGTCAGGGTCACCCTTCGCTCCCTCCTCCCTATCCCCGAACGCTAAGAACCTTGGTGCTCGGGCTGCTCAGAGAAGATGCAGTGGAAGCGCTGCTGGCCAGGCTCAGGCTGCTCCGCGGTCGGTCCTGGTCCTGCTCCATCGAGAGCTCTGAGAGAAAGAGAAAGGGGCTGTGTCTCTCCACTGACAGGGGCTGAGGACAGAGTTGGGGTCAGGGCTTGGAGGCCAGAGAATGCTGCGGGAGAAAGAAACTGTTGTTTGGGGACTGGGGGACTGGGGAGGTCATGGCCAGGGATCACATACCAAGAGCAGTGCCAAGAGAGGTGGGCGGCCCTGGCAGCTGTGGGGAGGGGGCAGATGTCTGCAGTCAGGCCTTAAGAATAGGGGCTCCTTTATTTCTGCCCACTGAACTCTGGCTAGGAATGTGACCCCCTCTATGCGCAGGGATTCTACTCCCTGCCTCCTTCAGAGTGCCCTGGGCTACCTGTCCCTGTTTTCTCTCATGAACCCCCAAAATATCTTTGTCAACTACCCAAGACAAGTCCGAAGACACTAGGAATGAGCATCCAGGCAAGTCCCTCCCAGCCCAGCCAGGGACTTACCCAGCTCTGGTGTCCCACAGGATCTGCCTGCTCACACACTGCCTCTTCAGGGCTGTCTCTCCACACCTGATGTCTGCTTCTCTCTGTGTGTGTCTCTCTCTCTGTCTCTCTCTCCTTCTCTCCCTCTTTCTCTCTCTCTCCCCCCTCCCCTTGTCTACCTATGTCACCTTCCCTCTCCTCACCTTACTGCTCCTGTGAAACTCCCCACCCCTCCTGTCTTATCTCCCTCCTCTAGTCCCTCTCTCTGCGCTCAGTCTCTCTTTCTCCCTAGCCAGACACATCTGTTTCCTTTCTTCTCTTTCAAGTGCTCTTCCTCACTTTCTCTCTTCCTCCCTCTCCCAGTTTCTCTTTCCTCTCTGCTGGGCTTTCCCTGTCTCTGGCAGCCGCCCACGCTGCTGCCTCCCCTCCCAATCCTGGCTGTCTCCGCCTCTTCTGGCCTCCCCACTGCAGCCTGACCCCTGGCTCAGCTGTCCCCACAACTAAGGGGAGGGATTGGGCTCCCAACTCCTGGCTCCCCTAAACTGTTGCTGGGACTCCTCAATGTTTGGAGCAGAGACTTGAACCCCAGTACAAGTTTGTTGTTGCTTCGGGTTCTGAGCTCCAGGCACCTCCTAGAGAGCTGTCCTGGGTCTTTTGAAAAATGGGGTATCCAACTCCTGAAACTTTGGAAAATTGGGATACTTGCTAGTGGGTGCCTGGGAAGGGCTGAGCCAGAAGTCAGGACTCACAGACTGTGCATCCATGGTCAGCACTGGTCCTGGAAGTGGGGGGGGGGGGTCCCAGAGAACTAGGTTCTGGCAAGGACAGAGTTAAGCGGCAGTTTGAAATTTCTCCCTCAGATGAGACTGATAACCCTTTAGGAGGGAGGTATAATGCATTCTGAGGACTCCTTATTCTGCAGATCAGAGCTCAGAGTGTAGTTCCCAGAGAGCATTGCCCAGTGTGTGTGAGGCCCTGGGATCCATCCCCGGAAACACCACACACCACACACCAAACACACACACCACACACTAAACACACTCATACACATACACACCACACACACATACACACAAACACACTTAGACACACAGAGACACACACCAGGTAGGGAGAGGAAGGGAGGTTGGAATTTGGTCTCTGGATCTGGGACTTAAACAGAGCCGCACCCCACCAGGGCACAGCCAATCAGAATTTCAAATTGCACATGATTTTGGAGCAGTGGAAAATACAGATGCCTGCCTATGAAGGCAAGAGAGTCTGCTTGACAGTGTTCTCCATGCAAGATGCATCGCGGTCACACTGTAGCCTCTATGCAGGAACGCTGGGGTAGGGCTGCTGAGAGTTCCTGGGCAGCCTGGACTACAAATGTAGATAGAGTTCACCCCGGACTGCATAGCCAGCTCCAGGCAATTCTGGAATACAAAATGGGTCCCTGTCAAAAGACAAACAAAACAAAGGAGACACAAGCAAACCTTCAAAGAAGTAAAAAGAGAAAGCTCCATGAAGGCAGGCAGTAGGCTGGGGTCACAGCTTCTCTGGGCACAGCAGGAGGATTGCCCAAATAGCAAGGTTAGTTCCAGGACAGTGTGGGGTATAATGTGAAGGGCTGTCCCTAAACAGACAGACAGACCCACACACCAAAACAACCAAGGGACTAGAAAGATGGCTCAGGGCTTGAGAAAGCACTTGCCTCTCTCCCAGATTCATCTCCCAGAACATGGGGTTCACAGCCCTCTCTAACTCTACAAGTTCAGAAGCCATCGTCTGGTCTCCACGTGTACCATATACAGACGTAGTATGTGTGTGTGTACATATATATGAATGCACGCATGCATACACAGACAGACACACATACATATATATAAGAAGGAAAACCTCTCATATAAAGTAAGGGAAAATTATTTTGTTTTTTCTCTTTGAGGCTGGGTCTCATTATGTAGCTCTGGCTGTCTGGGAACTCACTTATAGCCCTGGCTAGGCTCTGACTCAGATTCTCTCCCTCTCGAGTGCAGAGATAAAGGTATACTATCAGGCCCTAAAAGATTTTTTTTTTCCCTGTGTACACTTGACCAGTGTGGAACTAGCTCTTAGTCCAGGCTGACCCTGAACTCACAGTGATCCTCCTTTCTCTGCCTCTTCAGTTTCTGGCTTGCACTTCCATGGCTGGCATTTTATTTTAGTTTTTCTTTTCTTTTCTTTTTTTTTTTTTAAATATTTATTTATTTATACAATGTTCTGTCTATATGCCTGCGGCCAGAAGATGGCGCCGGACCTCATTACAGATGGTTGTGAGCCACCATATGGTTGCTGGGAATTGAACTCAGGACCTTTGGAAGAGCAGACAATGCTCTTAACCACTGAGCCATCTCTCCAGCCCTCTTTTTTTTTTTTTTTTTTTTTTTTTT